CTAGTGTGGTGGCCATTGCCATTAAGTTGATCTTAACGTCACTAAGTGAATTACTTGTGAGCTGGCTATTACTATTGAATTTGGGTTTTGCCACCACAGTGACATTGACCAGAGCACTGGATGTGCTCTTACTGGTCCTGCTGCCATCAGGAGCATTACATGAGTGAGAGCAGTACCATTAATTTGGTCCTGTAGCCACACTTAACCCTTGAGTACAAATGTTCATTCCATCGAGTGGCCCTGCCACTATCAGTAATCTGCTCCTTACTATTGAGACCCCTCTCAGCATACCACTGAGACGTCTCCTTTGAGATCCCTCTTGGCCACCACCGAGATATCTCTGATTGCGAGGGCAGACAACGATGCAATGGCAGACAACAATGCACCTCAATCCTCGAGTTTTAAGGGAATCAATACTCACTTGGTATACGAGAGGTTCAGGCAGGAATGCTCCAATCCGGCAGTTCCTCAAGTGCTGCCACACAGGCCAACACTTCATTGTAGGGCCCTACTCTTCGGCCTCTCATTGGCCTCAGGGTGTTTATAGGGCCCAGGTGGCGCTGGTCACACATTTCAGGACTGACCGGTGCGTATCCAGTGTTATCTTGGTGATATTTTCGTTCCATCCTCCTTGGTTCAGTCGGCTCTGTCAGGCCTGCCATTGTCTGCCAAGACCCCCTGAGTCACGGGCTTTCAGTAAATTTTCTGAAGAGCCAGACAGTTCCCTCCACCCGCCTCCTTCTCCTGGGCGCAGCTAGACTACATCCTATCCCTGGTCATCCAGGTAGAAGGGGAGTGGGTAGTTGCCCTGGCTACACTCTTCTAATTATTTGGAAATATGATTTCCTGCATAGCGATAGTGCCTTGGGCCAGATGACACTCCAGGAACTTGCAATGGTTCTGGCTTCCATTCCAGAGACTGGACACCAGTTTCTCCAGCTCAAGGGTAAAGGCTCCGTCTCAGACCCTAAGATCCTTCCAGTGGTGGATCTCCCCAGCGATAGCCAGGGGGACCTTGTTCAAGGAACCTACCTGGATCATCCTGACTTTGGAGCCCAGCTTGTTCGGCTGGAGAGTGCGCTTACAAGCACAGCTGGCTCAGGGCCGGTGGTTCCGCTCAGACCTGAAACGCAACATAAACGCGTTGGAATTCAGAGCTATACACTTGGCTCTAATCCACTTTTACAGCACAGTGGCAAGGCAACATGTTTCAGTCCTCACGGATAACGTGGCGGTGAAAGCCCATGTCAACCGGCATGGGGGTACCCGTTTCAGGTCCCTTATGGCCGGGGCTCAATTATTGGGAACCTGGGCAGAGACCAACCTCTCCTCCCTCGGGCCGAGCTCATCTCGGGAGAGGTGAATCGGCAGGCGGTGTTCTTGAACAGGGCGACAGTGGATCACTTCGAGTGAAGCCTGCATCCAGATCTTCTCTGGGAGATATCGGAGAGGTTCAGTTTCCAGTACTGGTTTCATTCATTACTCTGGTGAATTCCCAGTCCCTGAGGCCTTTTCCCCAGTTCCCATTTCCAGGGGCGGAAAGGGCAGATGCCCTCCGCAGGCTGTAGCCAGGGGTCTGTTATTTGCATTCCCTCCTCTTCCTCTGACTCAGGCAGTTCCCTGTAAGATACTGCAAGAATAAGCAGAGGGGATATTGGTTGCTCCACACTGTCCGGACGGCCATGGTTGCCAATCTTGTGGGTCTCTCGATCTCTCCATGGAGGATACCTCCAGGTTGAATCTCCATCAGCCAGGGGATTCTACAACGCCCTGAGTACCAGTGACTCCGGTTGACCACCTGGCATTTGAACGGCAGCTCTTGACGCAAGAGCTCTGCTCATCAGACATTGATACTGTGATTCAGGCTAAAAGACGGCCATCATCTAACAGGAATTATGATTCCACATGGAAAGTTTTCTGTACCCACTGTGGAGAGCAACAATTGAGCCCACTGATGATCACTATTCCAAAGATTTTGGATTATTTGTTGGGGGGGGACTCAGGAAGGGCTAGACGCCCTATACAATCCGCAGCTAAGTGCTACCTGGTCCACGGTGCTTCTGTAGGATAATTCCGGGTCCTTGGCTCAGCATCCCATGGTGTGCCCCTTTGTTAAGGGAGCAATCAACACCAGACCGAATGGGGTTCACAGATATCCCTTGGGATCTGTCCAGGGTCCTGCAGACCCTCACTTCACCTCCATTTGAGCTGTCAGAACCTACTCTCTGAGGTTTCTGATGCTTAAGGTTGCCCTTTTCGTGGCCTTACATCAGTTTGGCGCATTTCTGAACTGGCAGCTCTGTCTTTCAGGGATGACTTATGCATCTCCCATGTCGACAGGATGGTCCTGTGATTGGATCCCTCTTTCGTTCCCGAGATCAATTCTTTGTGTCACAGGGTGCTGGAGGTTGTGCTGACAGATTTTTGCCCTCAACAGTCTCACAACTTGGAACATAAGTGGCACATCTTGAACGTTCGCTGAGTCTTACGTCACTATGTCACGCGTGCGCACCTTTTCGCAATCTGCAGCCCTCTTCGTTGCATTCCAGCCCTCTTCAATGGGCATGATGGTATCTGCCTCTGACATTGGCAGATGGCTTGGGGCTTACATGGCAGTACCTGGCACTCTTCTTGCTGGTTCCCAGTCAGATCACCGCACATTCAACCCGCTGTGCTGCACACTCAGAGGCATGGGCGACACAGGCGTCGATCGCGGAAACTTGTAGGGCAGCGACACGGAGGTCGCCTTCCTCTTTTGTGAGGCATTATAACCTGGATAGGTTCGCTTTGGCGGATGTTGCTTTTGGTTGGAGAGTCCTCCGCCGAGTAGTGCTTCCCACCCATGGGGACAGTGAGGCTTTGATATGTCCCATCTGTAGTGGATTCTCCATTGATCATGCTGGAGAAGGGGCGTTGTCTTACCTGAACGCTTTTTCTCAGCATGACAATGGAGAATCCACTCCCCCCTGTTTAGGTCCGTCAGGCCCTTTGTCAGGGGTATTTGAGCCACCACATGGTAATGTCATCAACGGCTTTGCCTTTGTCGAGACTGGGTCCTTAGCCCAGGGGAAGAGGTGTGGCAAAGGTTGATTGACTTAGTCTTTGGCAGGAAGTCAAGGATCAACCCATCTGTAGTGGATTCTCCATCACCATGCTGAGAAAAGATGTTCAGGTAAGACAACGCTTCACAACTTGGATGAAGGAAAAAACCTGCTATGTAAATCAGAAGGAATTTGAAGATCAAGAAGAGAAACAGATGGAAGAAAAGATATAAACAGTTCAGGACAACTACATCAAGAGGAGAAAATAAAGAGACGATCTGGTAATCCTGCCAGACCCCTCAGCCTTCCAAAAATGGCGACTGGATGGTCATCTCAATATGACATAATATATACAATAATACAAGCATTCTTTAAGGACCCTGAAGCCAGGACATGGAAGATGATTTGGCAAAGAAAAAAAGCCAGAATAAGGCTGAAGAAGAATGGAATGTGGACATATTTAGGAGGTTTAAAATAGAATATACTTAAGTAGACAAGACCTATATTTTGAATATGAGATATTGTTATGATGTGAAGATAAAGAAAAATGTTGGCTAATCAAAATTTAGATGCATAAATATCAACAGTTAAATTGAAATATTGAGTTGTTTATAAAGGTTAGATAAAGGTGATTAAGACATATATATGTTAAGAGCGATGTAATATAATTAACATGTTTTGATGTAGTGATAAGAATAAAAATTATAAGTTTAAATATGAGAAAGTGGACATAAGAAAGAATGCTGAAATGGGAGAAATTTTGATTATTGAATCTATAATATTTGGAAATTATAATGAAAACAAGAATATTATATTGTATTACTAATCTGTTGATATAGAAGTGAGATAGATAAGATATGTATCCGGAACACTAGATGTTGGGGGGAATTGTGACAAAGGGAATTGGAGTCATTTAAAAATTTGGAAATAATAAATATTAAATGTTCAATTTAAATATCAACGTAAAATTAAAGCTGGGAAAATTCATAAGGTTATTAATAGTCCAAAAGATAGAGTGTTAAAATAAATAAGATATATAAAATTATTGATAAATATAAGAAAGCTATTAAGTAACTGATGGATAGAATAAGAAGTATGCTAATCTAAACAAGAGACAGTATGTATTAAGGGAAAAAAGAGAGGAAATATTGGCTGTAATAGTTGTAATAGTATTAATAATATTTGTAACTCAGACACCACATTGCTTTTGAAAGATATAATTGTAACATTGGAAAATTAATAAAAAGTTTTTTTTTAAAAAAAGAGAGAAAGGTTGGAAATTGCATGTTTTGGATAGATGGTTAAATTTTTATCAGACATATTTACAGGTAGACTTCTATATACACTGGTCACTTAATGGCCATTCAAAGATATAACACACACCTCTCCCCCAATGCTACATATAACCTTATTCAAACTTAGGGCGGCTGCAGCTCCCCCACAATTGTTCACCTTTCCGACTAACTCAGGGACACTGCAGGACTACAGGAAATCGTGTTTCAAAATTAGAAATCTAACAAAAAACAGAACTCAAATTAAAATTCATTTCTACTTTACATGCCAGGTTTTCTATTTAATAGACCAGATTATTTATATAATAATTATATAGAATTGCTCAAATAAAATGAAGAAAAATGAACCATTTTAAGAGATTTTTTTCTGTACATAGGCTGATATGACCAAAAATGATATGTAGAATACTTACTTAAACAAAAGCTAAATAACTTCTTTAGGTGCTGCAAACTCTGTATAATTTTATCCCTGAAATCTTACTTAACTGATCTTCTGTTTATAGGAAAAAGATAAATATAATTATCTATTTTCAAGTACTGGTTCTAATTCTGTATCTTTTTTACATTATAAAAATATTATTGCCAGCTTATAATATTGAAAAGGTTAAAGTTAAAGTTCATCAATTTTATGTAGTTATATCTATTTTCTTTTGGTTTGGTATTTTAGGTGCAGTGGCAAGTACAGAAGTAAAAATGAAATTGCAAGAGTTTGTTTTAAATAAAAAAAAGGCTTTGGCTCAACGAAATCTCAACCACTGCATTTCCAATGATCCTCATTTCTGGTATGGGTAAGCATTCTTACCACTATCCTAGGTTTCCCATCATTCTTGTAAATGAATATAAATGACAAATGAGGGTTCTACTTTATGAACATTGGAGTTTAAAAGCTAATTGAACTCATAGGTAACATGTACAGTTTAAATTAAAATGTATCCTTAGCTTTTTGAGGAGAGGGGATGATAATACGATAGTGATTTGATGAAAGTAGAGAATGAATGGCCAAAGATGGCAAAATTATTACTATAAAGGATAGGAATATTTTAATGTAAGAATTCCTAAAAGAAATTGACACATTTTTAATTATCTAATACTACACAACAAAAAAGCAATGTTTTAACAACCATACAGATACAGTTAACTTTAGACTAGTCATTCTTTCTCAGCCCTAGGAAAAGGATAATGGCAACTTCTGAAAATGTTGCCAAAAAAAACCTGCATGGATTTGCCAAAGAATCCCAAGGAGGCAAGAATGATTGAAAGTAACAGCAGCAAATAAGCGTTTATTACCTGATGGTACTTTGCAATTCTTACATGCTACTGCACACAATTTTACAATACTGTATCTTATAGAAGAATTTCTGTCACAAAATAAGAAAAACAAATAGCATTTTGTTGAACAGCCTATAATCAGAACTGAGAAAATAAAAGCAGTGCAGGTATCTCTGTAGAAGTGTCAATACAGCACAGCTCAGTTGTTTCAACTTGTTCATCACCGTAGAGGCATCAGCATTCCAAGAGTGGAAGTTATTCTAACACCAAGAAGAAAGCACTGCAGTGAGCCCAAAGTAAAGACTCTTCTGTGAGCAAAGACTGAAATTTTTGTAGCACATTTGAGCTATCAATCTGTACTTTCTGCTTTTTGGTAAGGAAAGATTGGGGAATCTTTTAAGTTATTGTTCCACATCAGGGATCTTCAAACTTGGCCCTTTTATGACTTGTGGACCAACTCCCAGAATTCCTCAGCCAGTGTGCCTGGCTGAGGAATTCTGGGAATTAAGTCCACAAGTCATAAAAGGGCCAAGTTTGAAGACCCCTGTTCTACATTATGCTCTACTATTCCAAGGAGTACTCCAAATAGATTAGACAGTTACACCAAAAAAAGGAAAGTTCTGCTGTAAAATATTGATTCCACTTGGATTTAAGACCACCATGAATTTTTAAAAGGTAAAGACCAATAGGAAAAAAAGTCTCAGGTAATAATAAAATGCTCTTAGACAATCTCTAACCCTTAACTTTCTTTAGACCTGTGTTTGTTCATATAATAAACATCCTGGGGATTACGTCTTCTCTGTAGAGAAGAGTTGTCTGGGATACTATAAGGACTCCTGCTTTGGATAGGGGTTGGACTAGAGTTTTTTTTCCCCTGGAGCATACCACAGCACGTGCAATCAACTACTGATTTGAAATCATAGAAACATAGGGCTAGAAGGGGCCTTGGAGGTCTTCTAATCCACCCACCTGCTCAAGGCAGAAGTCCTTATACTATTTTGGATAAGGGACTGTACGATCTTTTCTTGAAAATCTCCAGAGGTGGAACATCCACAACTCTGGGAAGCAAACTGTTCCATTGATTAATTCCTCCCACAGTCAGAAAGTTTCTTCTTACTTCCAGGTAACAAGTTTCAGCTGTTGCTTCTTGTCCTGCTCTCAGACGCTTTGGAGAATAAGTCAGCCCTCTCACCTCTGTGACTGCCACTCAACTACTGAAAGAAACTATCAGGGGAATCCTTTTCTTCATTAGGCTAGACAAACCTAGTTCCTTTAACCATTCATTGTACAGTTTAGCCTCCAGACTCTTCTGTGCACTCTATCTCGGGTTGCAATCTGTTTTGAATTATGGCTATTAGAACTGTACACTGTATTCAAAGTGTAGTCTCACTAGTGCAGTACAGAGCTGTATTGTCCCTTCTTGTAATCTTGATGCTATCTCTCTGTTGATGTAACCTTGGACTACTTTGGCTTTTTTGACAGCTGAGCACACTGCTGGCTCATACTTAAGTGATGGTCCACTATGACAGAATTCCCCAACCTTTTCGACTTTGCGAACTGGCGGGTGGGAGAGGTGCAACTTGCTATTTGCGCAAGTCGGGATGCTCATGCTCACCCACCATTTCCGTGGCCTGGTTCCTTAAGGTTCAAGGCACAAAGGTGGGCCAGCATTGGGGACCTCTCACTAGGATATCTAGATCCCTCTCGAGGTTATTATGGTTGAGCAAGGTACTGGCTATTCTATACCTGCACATTTGTTTTTTCTGCCTAGGTGCAAGACCTTACTTTTCTCACCACTGAACTGGATAGGGTCCGTGTTTCAAGATCCTTCTGAATCTTGAGTCTATTTTCCAAACTGTTAGTAATTTCTCCCAACTGGTTGCTGTTAGTAGATTGATGAGTTTCTCTTCTATTCCCTCATCTAGATCATGTTGAAGAATGGTGGGCCCAATATAGAACCTTGAGGTACTCCACTGCATGCTTCTCTCTATGTAGATATAGTTCTGTTGAGGGCTACAAGCTGAATCAGATGGTTAACCAATCCACGTGATGGTATTATTTATTCTACATTGTTCTATTTACCAATAGGTCTATTTAGTCAAATACCTCACTGAAGTCCAGGTATATATACTATATCCATAGCATTTCCTTGATCCATTAATTTAATCACTTTATCAAAGAAGGAAATAAGGTTTGTTTGGCACAATCTGTTTTTAACAATTTTGGCTTCTATTAATTGTCTTGTTCATTTCTAGGTGCTCACAAATCCATTGCTTGATTACCTTTTCTGAAAATAAAGGTTATTGTATTAAAGTAGTAGTTTTCAAAAACAGTGGTCTACCAAATAACAGCAATAGAAGCCTGCCTCCTCATCAACTAATTTTCTTGCTCCAGCTAGTCCCCTAATTTCTAATGTCTGTCTTATAGCTTGCTAATAGAATTAAAAACATCTATAATCAACAGACAGGAGCCTACTGTTTTTGAAGATGAGGATATGGCAACCAACTATTCCTTAGGAACATGGTCAGATTTATCAGTAATCACAAACAATGGCCAGATTGGTACCCAGAATTCATAGTACTTTTTAATTAGTTCAGAAGGAATTCAGTTATTTCCAAAGTCATCTCTGATTTTACATGAGAGATCAAATCCATAATCTTCCTTTGAGGGAGAACTTTCATATTACTATAGACAAGTTAGTTAGACATATCTCCATTAAGCCTTAAAACAGTGGTTCTCAACGTTTGTGTGACGGCGACCCCCGTCACACAAACGTTCTGCGCATGCGCGGCGCCGTGCGCATGGGGCGGGGGCGCACATGCGTGGCGGCACCCCCATGCGCGGCACGCATGCGTGGCGGCGCCCCCTGAGGGGAGGAAATGGCGGATCGCCTTCTTTGGCGACCCCCGAAAAATGGTTGATCGACCCCAAATGGGGTCGCGACCCATAGGTTGAGAACTGCTGCCCTAAAATGTCCTTCCTTCTAGGGATAGCATTCTCCCACTGAGATGCATTACTGCTAATGGCAGTAATATGCCAAAAACCAGAAGTTTCTTTTTATTATTCTTAACTGGCTGAATAAGTGGATTCCAGGCCTTTTCCTATGGCATTTTTTTTTTTACCTTACTAGGTGTTTGTGCTGCCTGTTTTGGTTTAAGAGCTCTTGATCTGTGATTGGCACTATAGGCATTATATCCAGCAATTAGTTTTCAGACTAGGATCTTGACTATCAGAATTGTTCCTTATTTAATATTGGATTTAGTTGGCTCAGATATTTTTGTAACTTCCATATTAAAGTTCTATCCACTTTAGTAAACAGTGCTTCCAAGGGAGTTTTCAGCTATCAGTGAAAGACAGATATGCTGGAAAATAAATTACTTATCAAACTGATCATCTCTGCATGATTTTCCAGCTGGAAATATGATGGGTTAGAACAAGTCCTCAATATAAATTTGCCAAGGAAATAATTAAGCATGTAGTGGCTATTAGATAAAAAATACCTTCAAAAGAGTACACAAAATACATATTTTATCAAAGAACGTACTTAGATATGTGCCCATAACATTATTACCTTTCAGGGAAAGTACTGTGTGCAAAATGCAGAAAAGAGTAAAAGGCAGTAAACAAAAGACATTAAGAGCAGCTGACGAGCAAAAATAAATAGCTATTCTTACTTCATCTAGTTTATCTCTGCACATTCACGGTCTATATACCTTTCTATCTTTGCAAATAATATTTCTCTTATGTCCACATACTGATAACACCTTTTTATTTTTAAATCTATTTTATTTTTTATCCCTTTATTATTGTTTATAAATAATTCAGGGTGGTGAACATAACTAATACTCCTTCTTCTTCCTATTTTCCCCACAACATCAACCCTGTGAGGTGGGTTAGAGAGAGAATGATTAGCACAAAGACACCCAAATGGTTTTTCATGCCTGTGGTGGAAGTAGAATTCAGTCTTCTGGCATCTTAACCACTAGATCACTAGATTAACAACAACAACAACAACAACAATAATAATAAGAAGGGATCTTGGAGATCTTCTAGTCCAACACCCTGCTCAGGCAGGAAACCCTATCATTTCAGACAAATCTTACCTCTCTTTTTGGGGATTACCTCCACTCCATTGAATTATAACTTTCTCAGTCTTCCCTTTCTTCTCAATTCATTTACTGTTCCTATAGATATTTATTTTATAATTTAGTATTTATTCACACACTCCATATGATAAACCACTTCAATATATTTTTGTAATGGCCGTTCACCTTGCATTCAGTTCTGATTCATTTGTCATCTTGACATCATTCTTGACTTTATGACTTCTTGTTTTAGCATTTTTTTTAAATTTTATTAATTATTAATTTTTCAAATTTTTACATCCAAATACTTAGGAAGCAGCATGGTGATAGGGTAATCAATAGTCCAATAACAAAGTCATTCATATATATCTCAGGTTACATCAATAAAAGTTCCCTATTTCCCACAAATATTATATTATATTCATATTAATAAGTTTCTAACTAAAGCTCAATCAATCATCACATTTATCAATAACATTTTAGTTATACATATCCAAGTCCTGTTTTTAGGTTTTATTTAATTCCAATTTATATATTCCAATTTAGCCTTTTATAACCAATGTTTAAGCTTCGGATAACCTTAATTTCCCTCATTTCATTATAAAATAATTAATGTAACTAAAATACACATATTATTCCAAAATTTACCTTCTTACTTTATTGACAAGTATATTCTATTTCTCATCCTAGTAACTCCTCATTTAGTAGCAAAATGTCTTTCATTGTCACAAATCTATTTCCAAATAACAATTGAAGTTATAATCTAAGAGTTAATTTTAATTCCCATTATAAATCTAAATCCTAAATGTTAAAGGAATCATTATCTCTAAAAAGCTGCTTGGCCCATTTTCTGAATCCCATTTTTAAATCTAACTCTGGCTTTCTTTTTGTGCCAAGCAGGTTTCCATCCCAGAGCCTCTAAACTTTCAGCTGTATCTCCCTTTATTTCCACACCTGTTGTTTGAATCAAAGGAGAACATCCAATTATCAATCTTTCAAGAGAACTGGCCCCTTTGTAATTATTAGGTTGTTGCCCTAATAGTTCAAATCTCCATGTTTGGTTTAAAATATTTATCATCGGTTCCATCTGGTCCTCTTCTTCTTCTTGCAGTTTCATCTGAGTAAAATAGAAAGTCACGTCCATTGTTGTCATTATTATTTGGTTGTCTGGGTTGTCTAGATTCTCAGTGTAGCATGTTTGTTGATCAATTCCTGTTGCTTTTGGAGTTATAGGTACTGTAATTAATGTCAATGTTTGAATATCAAAGTTCTCAATCAATTGTACATGTTGTTGAGTAAAATCTTCTTCGGTGTTAAATTGTTCCTCTTCTGTTATTTTTTGGCTTGTCAGTTGATCAATTTGAGTCTGGGGTTCAATTTGTAGTTTTGTGAAAATATCCTTGGCTTTCACTCATGAATTTATTAGTTCAGTGGCTTCAAAAAATTTTTCAAGGATAAGTTTATAATTAAGTTGTGGGTAGGGTTCCTCCATTTCCATGGTGATTAGAGATAGTCCTTTAGTGGAGGCTATGTTTAGTAAAAATCAGCCATTGTCCACCTCCACACTTTGCAAAAGTTATTGTCACCACCCAGCTGTTTCCACTTCTTATCTTTTTAGATAATATGAAGGGTAAATCAGGGAAATCAACAGGAACAATTGATAAGAAAAAAAATCAGTTGCTATGCCAGGTTTCACCACAAGATGTCCCCAGCAGACCAAAAAATCCTTTCCCAGACGCCAAATAGCCTTTTATTCAGTCAAAACACACAAAAAAAATATTTTCCAAAGTTAATAGTTAAAGAAGATATTAAGTCTCTATAATAGGACGTTTTAGGACCCTCAGGTATCCACAAATCAAAACTCCAGTTATTTGGTTATTGAGATTAATTGTCCTTTTTTCCCAAAAAATTTAATATCCCAAGTACGCAAATGACACTGTATTGAGAGCAGGGAAAAGTTTCAAGGAGCTTTCACAGGAAAGTGGTTAGGGAAGAAGAAAGGTAAAAAAAAGGGTCTCACCCCAATCCTCCACTCCTGCTTCGTTGTGCTTAGTTGTTATTTTGGCTTTCGGCTGGTGCAACTTGATGATTGGCCATGTTAATGGCTGATCTTTTCTTCATCGGTTCTTGGGAGCTGCCTCAGATCAAACGGAAGGACTGCTGCCCTTCTGCGATCTAGCAAGAGTCTTCCCCAAGGTTGGTCGCCCCTGCAGGGCAACTTTCGACCCTTTCCAAGGTCTTCTGACGAAGGGAAATCAAACAGCGGCGAGAAGGCTCTCTCCGCATGTCCGGAGGCTCCACGATCCGGAACCGGAAGCCAGCACAGTGTCTTATACATAAATTTTCCCAGACCATTTAATTTTGTTCTGTGATTGTTGATATACTGAATTCTTGGTTCCATTATGGACATATGCATGGCTATTTTCACTTTTTACACTCATTCCTCTTAACTAGCTACATATTATCTCTTAGCTTTCTACCAGTATTTGTACATTGTATTTTTTTTTCCCATTGTCACATCTTCAGTAAACATTCTACTGGTAAACAGCTTTAAGTTCTGTTAGAGAATTTTAATTTCTCTATTGGTGAAAAAATAAATCAGAAGCTCTCACAGTTGACTGCATTTAGCTGATTCAAAATAACCTTTATATTTATATCAAAATATTTATAATACCATACATTCTTCTTTACAGCAACATAGCTCAATGAATACTTCTTACGGAGAGATACAGAGACAAACCTGAGACTGAAAATTCAGCTCCTAACTCTTTTTTTTTAATAAAAAGTTTTTATTTTCCATTTATTCATACAAAATACAATTCAATTAAAATAAATTCCTCCATTGGTACCGCCTGCCCATTCCCCCCAGCCGCATCTACCCTCTCTAATCCTTCCCTACTTCCCTCCTCTTTCTCTCCTCCCCTCCTACTCTCTTCCCCTCCCCTTCTCCTCTAACCATCCTACTTCCTCCCTGCTCCTTCCTCCCCTCTCATCCCTCTAACACACATGAACGCAGCATAGGAGAAATGCCCAAGCATTTCCATGACTATATTATCATTACCCACCCACCCACCCACCCTCAACCCTCCCCCCCTCGCTTCCCAGAGCAGAGTACAGGGTTATTAATAAGAAAGTTAACAATAATAAAAAAAGAAAAGAAGAAAGAAAAAAGAAAAAAAATCATACTTAACCTTTAACTCCCCTTAAATTAAGTCGTATAAACAAATCTCTACAACAGTTACTATAAAATTTACTCATAAAGTAAATGAAACTTTATAGTCCCATTTTTTTCTGAATATAATCTATCCATCTTCTCCATACAATAATATATCTTTCTTGTGTATGATCCTTCAAATAAGCAGAAATTTTTGCCATTTCTGCAAAATTAGAAACTTTAAATATCCATTCTTCTAAAGTAGGAAACGAGTCCTTCTTCCAATATGAGCCTACTAATAACCTTGCTGCAGTTAATAAATTCAACATTAAAGTAGTTTCTTTGTCATTTAAATCCACAAAGATACCCAATAGGAATAATTGAGGGGTGAACTTTATCTTCCTTTTAAAAATCTTTTGAATGTTCCACCAAATCATAATCCAAAAAGCCTTTACCTTTTTACAATTCCACCAAACATGAAAATATGTCGCATCCATATTACCACATCTCCAACATTTGGGT